TGTTTGAAGACAACCTACGGGGCAAGGAGATGCCCTGCCTGCGCCCAGGCCCCAGGAGAGGCCCACAAAGGACACGGGCCTTTCCAGGGACTGGCCTGAGGGAGCACAACAGCCCGGGTGACAACAAACAGCTGAGCCCTGTGGGAGCAGAGAAGAGCCCGACGTCCCAGGAGCCGGCAGCTCTGGGGCCCTGCGCGGAGCAGCTGCCGGGGTGGCGGAGGGTGTGGGCACCCGCTGCCCTGCAGCTCGACCTCCGCTTCCCGGAACGAAAGCAGAGCCTCGGGAAACTCCAGCCAAATAGAGCAACTCAGCAAAAAGAGGAGCCGCTGAGCTTCTCTGCTTCCGTGAGAGAGGCACAGAGAGGCCACGGGAGCAGATTCAGGGCCTCATTTGCTGGGCCTCCCGTGCCCGCCGCGGCACCCTGCAGGCGCTCAGAGTGCTGTGGGATAAAGCAGCCAGGGCTCCTGCCCCGGGGGTCACTGTCTAGTCAGGCACTTAATTAGAATCCCTGGAATCCTAACCACAATAGAAACAGTCCAGGATGGTCAGTTCTGTACCAGTCAAGGCTGGCGGGGGAGCAGGGCAAGAGTCGGGGTTTTAAGGGACGAATAGGAGTTCACCAGGCCCCCAAATGGAGAGACTCTTGTCACAGCCACTATCTTCCTCTAACCCCCTCCATGAAAATTCACATTCTTTGTTCCTAAGTGAGAACACAGAGATTCCAGAGATAGGATTACTCAAACAAGGGTCCTAAGGCCACAGGTCAGTCAATGGAGCTAAAATATCAAAAAAGTTAAACAGTGAGCCACCAAGTTCAATTTCCAGTTTTAAAATGTCTCACTTTTACAAAAGATCAAGAACTTGTCGCCTGAAATCAGACGTCAAAGGTCTGTTTCTACAGGACTTCTCAGAGCCTTGAACTTGCCGATAAAACCCGAGCCTGCGAGACAAGAGTTCCTGCAGCGCACGCCCTTGGCCTTGGAAGGGTTTTCTTGGTGAAGGAGCGCTGTGGGGACTGGCACCGAGGGGACGCTGCTGGACTGTGCTGGGGCAAGAGGGTCTGGGTCCCGGCACTGGGACTGGACTTCCTCACTCCACCTCCCGGGCCTCGAGTTCCTCACCTGCAAGACGGGAAGACGGAGCCTGGCCTTGTGCAGGACGAGCGACAGGGTAGGCGGAAAGGCTCTGAGTGGAGGCCACAGGACACGATAAGCCACTGTTGCTAATGTTATCGCCACGCTGGGACACGGGAGGCCTGGAGGGGAGGCTGGGTCATCTGGCCACGGGTGAGTGGGAGGATCCTGGACAAAGCCTGTCCTGCGCAGGATCAGAAGCAGCAGAGCAGACCCTGGCCTGCAGCTCGCACCCCGTCCCCATAGCCTGTCCCTCACGCCTGTCCCTGCCGCCTGCACCCCTGGGGTGGGGTAAGCGGCATCCGTCCTCCTCGAGCAGATCTCACCCAGGGAGACTGGGCTCAGGAATGAGCATGTGTTCAAAATAAATAAAAGGCGCCCGTGTCAGGCCAGGTGGCCAGACAGGCACAATCACCGCGATCAGGCGGCTCAGCTCTCGCGGCCCGGCAGGCATTGGGCAGGCCCCACCAGTGGCCACCGCATGGTCCCAGGGTCCGGCAGCCCCAGAACAATGGGGCGGGAGTGTTGCCCTGGGCACCGCTGGGCCCTTGTTTGCAGCAGATGGCACTGGAAGCAGTCGTGCATGCTGTCCAGCCAGCCGTTCCCAGGACTCGCGCCCAGCGTCCCTGGCCGGCCCAGCTCCCCCACGGACTCTGCTCCCGTGGCCTTGGGGAGCTGCCTGGCTCGGTCCTGTCTTCCCGGCTGTAGGTGTGTCTCGGCCAGCGGCCTGGGTGGGACTCTGGAATTCTAATCCGGCCCCAGCTCTGCCGAGTGTCCAGTGTCGCCTTGGGTCCTACCACTGCTCTGGGCCTTGGTTTCCCCAGGTGCTGATGTCACTGTGTGGTGGCCACAGAGGGAGGAGGGCCTGCCTGGAGTCGGCACTGCTGGATGGGGCAGGGCCAGGCCCTTCCTGTGTCGCTGAGGCTGAGACTGTGTTGCAAACCCTTGGCAAGACACTGGGCAGTATGGGTGACAAATAGGACACCTAGCCCGGGGCTCAACACACGCAGCCACCTCTCCTGCGGAGACGGTCACAGTGCAGAATCACCTCCTGCCCAGCCCCCTCCCTGTGGGGTCTACATGGGAAAACCCAGAATGAGAGCTGCTGCTCCAGGTGTCCAGCCCCGTCCAGAGCGCTGACCTCCATCTGCCTGTTTAACCCCCACCGTGACCCCAAGAGGCAGCTACCATCTCACGCCTGCTTCTGACTAAGTGACTGAGGCTCAGAGAGGGCAAGCCACGTGTCTGAGGCCACACTGTAAGTGATGAGGCCCAAAAATGAACCCAGGCCATCGGGCTTGAAGTTCTCCCCCAGGCCACTGCGCCACACTGCCTCTCTGCCAACGCGAAGCGAGGTCCCGTTAGAGGGAAAGTGCCTCTGAAAACAAACTAGCACATTTGAGAAGAGAAAATCGCTCGGAATGGTTCAGAATAGACCCGAGCACAGCAGGTCAACCCATTCGGCTCCTCGATTTACAAATGGGGACCTGAGGCTTGGGCAGGAGGGACAACCACAGCCAGACAGGCAGTGGCCCAGAGACCTGCCCTCGACTCCAGCAACCCCAACCAGGGCCCAGCTTTGCACACAGCACAGCGGTGTGTCATCAGGCTTTGCTGCGGTTAAGGTGCGTCACCATCTTGCGCCACAGGGGAGAGACCCACCCCAGACCCGGATCCATCTGGAAGGACCCTCAGAGAGCATCCGAGTCCCTGTTAAATAAGCAGAGGGGCGTGTGACACCAGCCAGTCCCGGCACGAGTTTACTAAGTGTGGAAAGAACCATTACAGCCACCCAGGGTCCCCTTGATGACTGGAGCATAAAAGGGAAGCCTCCTACAGCTCAGGCTGCCCTTGGACTTTCACCCTCTTCCGGGCAGCTGGGTGCCAGGCACAGCCCCGGAGCCTCGGCTCAGATAACTGACATTTGAAAATGCGGAACTGAGACATGCAGTGACAGTGGCCACCGCTGTAGCTCAGGGCAGCCTCCTGGCTGCTCGGAGCCATCACCCCTGCCTGGGCGGTCACCCTGCCTCTCCTGCTGCCTGCACCCCTGTGAACAGCAGGGTCACACGGGGCTGCCTATCACGAACCCCGTCTCCCAGCCCCACAGGTTGCCCGTGACGCCAGCTGGGCCAATGGGGTCCTCTTAAGGCACTGACTGGCACCCAGGGAGGACCCCCATCCTGCCCTGGAAGGGTGGCCACAGTGGGATGGTTCTCCTGCTAGGCCCAGCCTGCTGGTCGACCCAGAGGAAACCAGACCTAAGGGAAGACAGGGAACAAGGGGCTCCTGCCACACCCCCAGCCGAGCCCTGCCTCCCGGGTCCTGGACCCAGGCAGCTCCCCTTTCTGCTTCAACTTCTTTGAGGTCACAAATGTAAGAATCATCACTCCTGGCCCACGGGAAGGTTCCCACCAGAGACTCAAGCCCCGGGGTCAACCTGGGTCGCTGCCCACTTAACCAAGGGACAGGAGTCCGGGTTCAGCGGAGGCTCTGCAGAGGCTCAGGGAGCACGGGGTTTCTTTGCTGGGGCTGGAAAGGGCCCGGGTCCTGCAGGCCCCAGGGCCAGTGTGAACCAGGATGCTGATCAGTGAAACGACTGAGCTGTCCTCTGTCCCAGGCAGGGGGCCCCCGACAACCACAGTGGGCAAACGGACCTACTGCAGAGTCCCTCCTGGGACCGCGTTCTGAACCACCCACAGGAGGGAGAAAGGGCTGTGTGTCCTAAAGTGCTGGTCAGAACTTTAGTTAGAAAAATAAGAACTGGAAACAAACCCAGAGCCAAGAGAGGGGAGCCTTCAGTCCCTCACAGCCCACTCGGGCAGTGGGGCAGCCGGCTACCAGAAAAACGTGGGTTACGAAGACCACGCAGCCACGTAACTGATGGGTTCTGTTACCTAAGAGAGGCTGCAGACTCGCGGTGACCTGCAGGCTGTCACAGCAGGGATGTGGGTGCACAGGGCAGGGGAGCTGGCGGGGAGAGCCACAGGACATGATAAGCCACTGTTGCTAATGTTATCGCCACACTGGGACACGGGAGGCCTGGAGGGGAGGCTGGGTCATCTGGCCACGGGTGAGTGTGCAACGGAGACAACAGGAATGTGCTGCTGCTGCTTTCCTTTTTTTCTAAATCAAAGTTTAATTTTGGAAGAGCTCTACGTAGATGTACAGAAAAGCTGCAAACCACAGAATAGACTCACTGAAGGAGGAAAGGAGTCCTTGGCTCAGGTTTCGAGGGGTCCTTCTGCGCCTGAGAGCCTCTGGGAAGCAGTGCTCTCACCCTCCCTGTCCATCTTCTTGGACCCACCTCCCTTTCTCAGGCTGCCCCACACCCTCCCTCCAAGGAGAGACCCTGGGGGCTCCAACAGTGTCCATTTTTTTAATGGACAGGATGAAACAGACTTAAGACACAGAACCTAACAAAGAGAGCTCTCGGGGCTCAGGCACAGGCCAAGGGTGTACCACCCCGCCCCCTTCCTCAGCCCAACAGGCCGTCCCAGCTGCCCAGTCCAGGGCACCTCTGTCGCTCTAGACACCAGACCACAACTGCGTCTCTCCCTCGTAAGGCCAGCAGGTGCCCACTGCCCAGAGAGGACAGCTCATGGCCACCGCTGGGTGTCGTCCACAATGTGACCGGGTGGTGGCTGCCACGTTGGTAGCCCTTCTCTGTGAGCTGGCTGATGTTTCTGTGACGTGACAGCCGGGATGGCCCACCAGGCACCGCCCCCTCGGCCTCCTGAACCAGCCCAGTAACAGCAGAGACAGAGACTGTGCCAGGTCCGGCCACACCAGATCCAGGAACCCACCCGCACTCCCTGTCCTTGTGAGGTGCCACCCCCCCGGCCCCAAGGAACCCAGGACGGTTACCTGGACCACCTCCTTCACCAGCGTCTTGTCTGTGCCCGTCTTGGCGCGCTGCAGCCCGCTGACGTTCTCGCCGATCCACGTGATGAGGGCGAACTTGGACCTCTTGCTCAGGGCGTCCCCGGTGGTGAAGCGCACAAAGGCGAACAGCCGGACGTCATCTGTGCCAACGGCAAAGAGAGCGGTGCCGGGTTAGACGCCAGACAGGGCCGGGAGCAGCGGGGGAGCATGAGCAGATAGAGGCCTGCAGCGGAGGTGGAGGCAGAGGGGACCTTACCACTGGCCTGGGCCAGCACCCTCCTCTAACCCCACCACCCACTTCACACGTCAGTGTGGGTTCATGGTGGGGAGGGAGGCGCACAGCAGTCACGTGACACCCCCGTGGTCGCTCGGGCTGCAATCTCCACAACCTCCTCAGGATCAAGGTCAAATTATGGATCTGATTTGGGGAACAGAAATTCACCCGCACTTCTTCCCTCAATCTTTAAGGCTCCGTTACTCGGGGAAGACCCTGCGGAGTCAGGAAGCCAGCTGCACCGGCTGCAGTGGGGCAGGAGAGCCTCGGCCTGGGTCCCCTGGGGACGCTCAGCTACGGCTAGACAAGCAGGCCCTGGTGAATCCTGAGCTGGTCACATACTCGTTCTTGTTAAATGACCCGGGGGTGTCCCATTGGTCTACATGAGGTCCTGATCCAATGAGCCACACTCCTCTCATTAGAGTCGCTCCAAAACCCCTTCCACCATCCACTGCACTAAGTCCCCCATCCACTGCCAAAATGTCACTCCATGTTCTCAAGTGTTTTAAGAGTGCATTGCGGGCACGTGTGTGTGTGTGTGTGTGTGTGTGTGTGTGTGGGCATCTCTGTGCCAGGGCCATCCTGTGTCCTGCAGCATCCCTGGCTCCACCCACTAGTCCCCAGGAGCACCCCTCCCCCCACTGTGACAACCCAAATGCCTGATGTGCCCTGGAGGCAGAAGCATCCCTGGCTGGGAGCCTCTGGTCTAGATCTTGCCCGGGGCCGAGATCCTCCCCACAGCTCCTCCCTGGAGGGTGCCGCACGTGCAGGGCTGCTGGTTTGGAGTCACCTGTCCTGTGTCAGCCATTGAGGTGGCTGTAGGACTTCTCAGGGATCAACCACACTGTCAAGGATTAGAATCCCTGGGAGATGGGCCTCAACCCTGGTCAGTGGGTCTGTGTGGAGAGGCTCCCAGGCCGCTGGTGCCTCCACTGGTCCAAGCCTCGGGCCTGGAGGGGCTGCCTCTGTCTGGTTTTTAATCACGCCGTTCTTCTTGGAGTCTTTGTGGGCCTTTCATGCCGAGTCCCACCCAAGTACACGAGTCACCTCCAAGACCCCAGCCAGCAGCCTCCGGGCAATGGAGGCGCCCGACTCCTCAAGGAGGACCCCCCTCACCGACCTGCTAACACAAATGGACCGTAACCACCCCTCACGCTGGGACAGCCCCGTGGCTTCTATCATCTCATCGGGTTGTCACGACACACCCACGTCACCCTTGGACAGGTCACACCAGAGCCCAGGGGCCATGTGAGGTGTTCAAGGAAGCCAAGGGCCTGGACGTCCTGGGTCCCAAAGCCCCTCCCTCGCCTCTCTCAGACCCTCCCGGTCTATCCTGGCAGCACCAGGCCTCAGCCATCACCCTGTCACCCTTGACGAGAGTCGCCCAGTGAAACCCCAAGTCCCAGAGGGTCCAGCGCGGCCCCAGCATAAGACAGACGCACAAGAAGTAAGTCACAGCCCTGCCCCCCAGGGCACTGGGAACCTTCCAGAACCACAGGCTGATGTCATGTAAATGATCGGAGGGACCTGGCTTACCGCGTGACTGTGGGGGCTTATCTGACAATGGTCGGTGGAAGGGCTGCTGACGAGCACATTTTTGAGCAGCCAGAGTCACACAGTGCTTGCCATCGTCACTGCTCAGCTCCACTGGGACAGACGGCCGAGGCATCCCTGGGCCTGTCTCCCCGCCACCCTGCAGGGGCTTCACCGCCCATCAGGACCGCCCGGGCAGCCAGAGGAAGAGCCATCACCCCTTTTGTTCTCTGAATAGACAGCAGCCTGGTCACTGCGCTGGGAAGGGAGGTCACTCTCCAGCACCCGTGTGGACAGAGAAATGTGGGACGGCAGCCAAAAAGCACAGCTGAACTTCCGTGTGCGTGTGAGCGCGCATGCACATGTGTGCACACGCGTGGACAAAACTGGTCAGGAGGTTCGGCCCTGGCTGTCTGTCGTCCCGGGGCCCAAGTGATGAGCCACCAGACAGCCCTTCCCTGGGGCACTGGTCAAGTCTAAAACAGCGGTTCCCGAGGGGGATCCACCAAAAATTCCACGGGAAAAAGTGAACTCTCAGGGGCACCCAGACCTGCAGACTCAGAAACCAGGGATAGGGACTGGAAATCATGTGGGAACAAGCCCCCAGGGTGACCCCAATGCCACCAAAGCTGGAGAGCCCCTGAGTTAGGGAAGGAGGAAGGGGAGGATGGGAGGGGCCAGCGGTGAGAACCACCCTCCAGGGCTGGTGGGGGAGGAGCCAGGACCAGGGGACCAGGCGCTGGCCAGGGTGCAGCCCCTCCCCCACCCCTTCCCCTGGGAGGGAGTGAGCCGGCAGGGGCTCTGGGATTAGCCTCTCAACACCATGGCCCACGGAACCAGCGGACACAGCGGCTCCTGAAGGTGGCTCCTGAGCATGACACGGGACCACGGGACCATCCGCCCACTGACTCCCACACCCAAGACCCACAGGAGACAGAGCTGCTGTGCAGGGTTCCCTGCGCCCTGTGCCTCTCGCCCACCCACCTGACGAGAAGCCACCCTGCAGGGTTGGCAGGAAGGGCTCCGTAGGCATCTGGACCCTCGGCTGGTCTACCAAGCCTCAGCCCAGGCCAACAAGGGGTTACCTTGGTGACATGGCTCCTGGGCCACCCTGACCCCACCAGGTTTACGTCACCCAGGACATGACAAGGGAAGGCCAGGAGGCAAAGGAGAGGAGGCCAGGCAGGACCCAGCTGAGCCCGGCAATAAAAGGGAACAGGAGAAGGGGGAGGACCACCAAGGAGGTGGGGGAGAGGTGGGGGGGAGGTCGGGGTTCCTGGAACTCCAGAGCCAACCGTCAGGATGCGCTACACAAAATTCCCCCAAGACAACCACCAAGCTCCCGAGGACCCCCAGCCCCCAAACTAGTCGTCGCAGGAGGGGTGAACTTCCGGCCGGTCCCACACAGCACTTGCATCCAGTCCACTTGACTATGAGCCCTGTCTTCTTGCAAAAGAGATTCTAGTCTCTGCTGCTGTCCCCACAGCCAGTCCTATCAGGGGGACGCAATCCTGAGACTGAGAACCTGCCGTGCACAACTTTCTCAGGCTTTTGCAAATGCTTTAAATGATTTTCCTCATTCCGCACAAAGCACACACCAGGTGAAAAATAATTAGAAATAAGCAAAAGCAGGGGTCCCGCCGCCTGAGTACCCCACAAACTTTGGCACGAGTCTTTTTTTATCTTCTTAGCTACTCTTTTTGTGATGTCCCTTTCCCTGCTCTGCCTGCTTTGCAGTGGTGGACACCCAGTAGACACCTTACGAATTTTCTGGGGCCCACAGAAAGAAAAGAGAGAGTAGTTTCATAATTTCCACCCACCACTGAACTTCAGAGCAAGACAAAGGAAAGAGGAAGGGCCCAGGAGGAAATTGCTCCAGAGCAGACAAGATTTCAGCCGGCTCCCGAGCTGACCTTGCTCTTGCAGCCTCTAAGAGTCTGCAAACAAGCTCAGGAAAGGGAACGGCACACACACCACAAAGCCTGCCTCTGTCCACCCAGCTCTCCCCGCAGCGAGCAGGAAAGAAAATGGGAAGAATTCTGACTTCCTGCCACCAGAGCAAGGCGGCAGCTGGACAGTGGTCATGCAGTGGCTGGCTCCCGGACGGCTGCCCAGGGGGCTGTGGGGCAAGGGCACTGCCCTGCAAAAGAGAAAGGGAAGAGGCCCTCTCTCCTCCCCCCAGAGGAAGCAGGGCTGGGTGGGCACAGATCTGGCTCCCCGGGGTGGACGCACATGAGCCAAAAGGCCTCCGATCGTCCCTCTCCTTGTTCAGTCCCTTAGTTTCCCAGATGGATAAAATCCAGAATGAAACAAAACACGCCCTCCAAGTGTTGAGAGAATCTTGAAAAATGTAAAAAATAAAGAAAACCCACTGGTGAAGAGACAGAAGCTCTGTTTTCACCCAGGTCTGCTCCTTGCAGAGGTGAAGGGAGACTGTTCCCCCCCTCTGTCCTGCACGTGCATACGTGGTCACCCCTGGGCCGCGCCTTGGCGCCCTGTACCTGCAGCCCGCCACTGTGTCCTGCCACCCCAGCAGCAGCCTTGCCAGTGACCCCCACTAACTGAGTTCTCATCACACGCCCATGACCCAGCTTTGCAAGTCTGACAGAGAGCGCGAGGAGGGGAGTGCGGGAGAGCCAGAGGACAGGAAGGCAGGCCTCCAGCAAGGCCCGGGGGAGCCGGCTGATCTGGATACCCAGATTACACCGGAACTGCAGGCTTCCCCCACGACAACCCACGGCTGGCTCGTAGAAAACGATCAGCTCTTACTTCCTAATATGGAAGTCAGCGTGTTCTACGACTCCAGCTTCTCACTAAGGCGCACAGGGGCTCAAACACCCCCCTCCCCCACGGGGGACTCTGAGTACGACATCGAAACATCCACAGCGAGACGCTCAGGGCCACCCGCGCGGGAGTCGGGGTGACTGCGGGGGCGACTGTGGTTTTGGTGTCAGCGAATCCTCTGACAAACACTTACTGACAATCTGTGACCCAGGGACTTTGCCTAATAAGACAATCCCACTCTCAGGAAGCAGAGGAGCAGGCCAAAGAAGGCCGCAAGGGAACACAGAGATGCTATTGCTGGGACCGCGGTCACCGGGCACTGCGGGGACGGCCAAGACAGCAGGAAATCAGCTGCCTGGGCCCAGGGGTGGCTCTGAGGGCACGGGCCCGCAGGGCAAGGGCCAAGCAGCTCCTGTTGCTGCAGGTGGGCGTGGGGAGGTTCGACAGAACCCAGGCCAGCCGGCTTCCGCAGGCAGGCTGGGGCGGCCCCACCAGGCTCTGCCTCTCGTTCTGACCTGCCACGGGCCAGCGGGCACACTCAGGTAGGTA